TCACAACTTTCTTCATCCCTTAAATGCCTGCCATGTGTGTAACACTCCCAATTTACATCTACTGTCCATCCTTCATTAATTCTCGGTCCTCATCTTATTTGACCAATCAGTAGAATTTTATTCAGTTGATCACTCTTTCCTCCATGAAACATTTTCTTCATTTGCCTTGGCAGACACACACACTTTTGACATTTTCCCAACTTCAGTGATTTCTCTTTAGTGTCTTTTGCTGCTCCCTCCACTGTTTCCAGCCTTCCTGTTGAAGTACCAGGGTTGGTCCTTGGTCTTCTTCTCTATATACATCACTATGTTGGTAATCTCAATTAGTTTCATGGCTTTAAATACCACCCAATGTGCTAGTAACTCCCCAATGTCTATCTCGGAGCAGTTTTCTCTCCCAAACTACACACTCATAAATCCAACTGCCTACTAAGCACCTCTGATTGTCTAACAGACATGCAAGCTCATCATACAGGACTTTGAACTCCCAATCTTACCCTGAAACCTATTCAGTAAATAGGGACTTCCCTATCTCAACTAATGTCAAGGCCGTCCTTCTAGTTGTATAAGCAAAAATCCTGGAGTCATTCTTGAATTCTCTCCCACACACCCTCTTTACTTCTGTCGGGAAAACTTGTTGGCTCTACTTCCAAAGTATATCTAGACTCTGACCCTGTCTCCCCATGCCCCCCTCTACTGCAGCTATCTTGGTCTGAGTCACCAGATTACTGCAATAGCCTCTTAACTGTTCTTTGTGTTTTTACCCTCGCCCTACTATAATCTATTCTTAATACAGCAGCCAAAGTGATCCCTTTAAAATGTGAGTCAGACCACGTCATGCATTCACCAAAAATCCTCCAACGGCTTCCTGGTTTATTGAGAGTAAAAGCCAAACTCCTGGCAATGACCTACATGCCCTGTAGGATCTGTCCCTCCCATTACCTCCGTAACCCCGACCACTGTGTATCTCACTCACTCATTCCCTTTTCAGCCACCGTCCTTCTTGCTTTTCCCCAAACAGGCTGGCACTCCTCTGTTTGGGGATCTTTGCTCTAGCTTCTCCTCTGACTGGACTACTCCTCCTTCAGACACCACTTGCCTAAACACCTCGCCTTCACGTCGTTGCTTGCACATCACCTGCTCGATGAGGTCTACTCTGATCACCCTATACCACCTCACCAAGTAGGTCTGATCCTCCTGATCCTACTTTTTCTTATTTCCATGTCGCTTAATCTCTTAGACTGCAAGCTAAGGACACGAGGAAGGACAGCTTTGTCTTGTCCACTAACATAGCCTGAGTGTCTTGAGCAGGGAGGCATATACTGGTGCTCAGTGAACACTCTCTAAATGAATGAACAAACAAATGCGTGAATCAGTGATGCATGTCCAAGTAAATACTGAACCCTCAGCAATCCACCTCGGAACATTCCTCTGCTCCACAGCTAATGCTACTTTTATTACCTCGCCACCGAGGCTTTGAAACTCACTGGCTCTGCACTCATCACTTGCTACCTGTCCACAGACCAGTACCTCCTACAATGTTGCTCATGTCATCCCCATGCCCAGGTTGTCATGCTTGGCCACTTTAGGACTCTCAGGCCCCTCCCCTTGGTCTACTCTTATTGTCTTTACTCACTGCCATGTGCTGCGTGAACCTCTGCTTCCTCCTCACACTATAACAGTGATGGCGAACCTTTTGAGCTCGGCGTGTCAGCATTTTGAAAAACGCTAACTTAACTCTGGTGCCGTGTCACATATAGAAATTTTTTGATTTTTGCAACCATAGTAAAACAAAGACTTATATTTTTGATATTTATTTTATATATTTAAATGCCATTTAACGAAGAAAAATCAACCAAAAAATGAGTTCGCGTGTCACCTCTGACATGCGTGTCATAGGTTCGCCATCACTGCACTATAACCTGCCTGCACACTGTTACCTCCACTGCTTTGCCACAACCCATATTCCTACCCTCAGTGCCCTCCCCCGGCTCCTCCCTAGATGTCCATCCCAGTGCACTTCCTACTTCCTCTGCAAGGCTTTCCTGACCCTCCAGTTCACAAAGATTTCTCCACTCCCTACATTCACAGTCCTTATAGTATGGACTCTCCCCCACCACACCCCCCTCAGCTGAAACAGCCCTATACTGCCTTGTGGCAGCTCTTAGAGGTTTGTTTTTTTTTTTAACTACATTTTTATATAACTCATTAATTGTTATGTAAAATTTCTGTGGATAAAAGTTTGGGGAAAAGGGAACATTTAATTTTTAATTGTGAGGCTGATTGATACGTCTTCTCTCTCTGTTTATATTATAGGCTCCCTGAAGGGGGAAATACTTCCCTTAAACTTCCTTATATCCCATAGACTCAAACACAGCACTGAGCATCTGTGGATGAAACAAGTGTTTGCGGGGTAGTTGAATGATTCAGAATTCACAGAGGGAGGAGGCCACAAATGCTAAGGCATGTTGCTGGAGCACAATGATCAAAGGAATAAAATAATGGAGTCAACCGAGGTTAAAAATAAAAAACTGTGTAAGGGGGGTTAGTTTCTTTTCATTAACCATCATTAATGTGGCTGGTAATTTGAGAATATGAAGCACTAACTGATTTCAGTTCTTTACTTACTAGTATAATCAGGTTGTTTTGTGCAGATATTTTTTCCGATTTGAAAGAGGGGAAAAATGCAGCTCTTCAGTGCAGCAGACGGGACCCTGAAGCCTTAAGTCTGAGCCCTTTTCTACTACAGTGAAATGGCCACAAGGCCCACGAAACCACTCTGCCAGGCTGGGGCTCAGGAAAGGTGCTTTTATCAGGTGACCATCAGAAGATGCAAATGAGGACACTGTCTGAGTATCAGTGTTTGCACTTTGCTCCTCACTGTCTTTTTTTTTTTTCTTTTTCCGGAGAGGAAGGAAAGGGAGAGGGATAGAAACGTCAATGATGAGAATCATTGACTGGCTGCCTCCTGTACACCCCATACTGGGGATGAAGCTCAAAACCCGGGCATGTGGCCCAACCAGGAATCAAACCGTGACCTCCTGGTTCATAGGTCGATGCTCAACCACTGAGCCACGCCAGCTGGGCTGCTCTGTGGACAATGCAGAGGGGGGAAAAGCAATGACATTAATGTTTTGTTAAAGAGATATCATTAAAATACAAGTGTTGACATGGCCTAAGTGTTTGAATGAAACTTTATGGAGGAAAGATCTGAGCTCTTATCTTCTTTGCTCGGGAACAGGGCTCCAACCCCTTTCTTCTTCCTGTGATATGTAATCTAGTTATCTTGTTAAACCTTCAAGTCCTTTTCTGTTCAAGTGCTACACAGGGACCTAAAGATCTGGGAGGCCATGATAGCATCTCCGCACTTCCTCCTCTCGGTGAGGCTGGTGGCCACAGTGAAAAACAGAAGTACCCGTTAACTACAATTTGAAACCATCTCGAAGGCACAAATCTTGTCAAGACCCAACCTTGAATGTTTAAATCAGTGGAGCAGAAAGGTGGTGGCCCAAGACTAAGGTCCAGACAAATGACGTCAACTCAACCCCTTACAACACAAAAGACCAAGTTTTGAGAGGGCAAGTGGCTCAGAGCTTGCGTCTGTCCTGCTGTCAAGGAGTTTTGTAACGACTTCTAGGTTCTGTCCCAGACCCAGGAAACCTGGGCCAAGAAGTTCTGTCACCCCAGCTTGCACCGTCTGCTCTAACAGTCCCAGCATCACTCTCGTCACTGGAGGGTAGCAAAACCGTTCCCCGGATTACTAGTCTGTGAGAAAGACAGTCACCAGAACCTCTGACATAATAAATTAATGATGCAATAATCACCCCATTCTCCAAATGTGCAAGTTATTGGTATCTCAATGCAAATGTAGAAAGAAGAATTTAAATCTCATGTTGTAGCATCATCCCTGCAGTATCTTAATTATGGTACTGTTTCAATTGATGGACTTATAATTCAGCACCCCTCCGTCTGTGAGAAGGCCATTTTAAAAGGCCCATTTGCCAAAAAAAATCCAAGTGGTGGTAGAGGCCAAGAAGCCGTCACTGCCAATTCTTAATACTCTCCTATCTTTTAGGTGGGGGTTCCCGCATGTTCACTGGCATCTAAGCTCTAACCACAGAAGCGTTGCCCTGAGGAAGTCATCTCAGCACTGAGACTGTATTCACAGACTCGTGCAAACTAGCATCAAGGAGCTCTGTTTGATGACCGCCTACTCTCCCAAGCTGCTACTTTGCAGAAGCACCAATGGCATTTTGAGAAGACTCCGGCCCTCGTCCCAGCTGTGGGCAGGGCACTTTGCTTTCATGGTCAAAAGAGTAGGAAGCTGTCCTTTGCTGCCCCTGTGCCCCTGCAAAGCAGGTCCTGACCCACATCTCCTAAGAGGTTAGACTGAGCGAGAGAAGACCACAGCATTCACACCAGGCCACAGCACAGAGCAGCATTCTCAGTTAGCAAACCTGCTCCCCCTGGCCAGGAGGAAACGTGCCCCCAACAACTGGGGATAACACCAGGAGATGCAAGGGAGGGAACATTCCAGGGAAAATTTTTTTTTAAAAAAGGAAAAAGAAAGAAAAAGGGGAAATGCACAAAGTCCATGAGGCTGCCTGGTTAACCAGGGGTTAGAATGAGGTTTGGAAAATCACACACAACAGCATCTTGGCAAATCCAAAGACCCCAGGGTGGAAGACACGTGGGCGAAAGCATTTCTATTAGTGGAAACAGGAAGTTTCCTTCTTTCACCAACTTGTTCAAAAAAAATTTTTAAATCTCTTTTGTAACCCAAATTTGGACCATCAATCATTTTTACCTGCCCAGCATTTCATCCTTCCAGAGTCAAAAGAGCAACAAAGACGGGGTCCGAAGATCCCTTCCCACAGCCAATTCCAATCAGCCCTTCTCTCCCGGGGTGACCTGTGCTCAGAGCAGACATTCCCAGCAGGCATGCCACACACAGCAAGTCGCCAAACCAGACTGCGCTAAAGGGCTTCCAGCGGACTTACTTGTACTTGTGCTGGTTCCGATCGTATTGATTGTGGTGGGGACGGATGAGGAGGAGTAGAGGGGCACATGGCCGTTCTCGCACCCCAGACTTTTGTCCTGCCAGTTGGAGGCGTTGATGCAAATCCCAGAATCCCGAGAGTTCTGCCACCCGTTGAGCTTGTCGTCGGAGTTCTGTCTTTGGTGATAGTAGTGTGTCTGCCCATAATCCACAGAGTCCGAGCGGCCTCGGTTCTGGCCACCGAAGCTGGTTGACGTGCGGTCCTCCAAGTGATTCAGCCACATGGCTAAAGCACTGCGGTCTTCCAACGAGGTGGCCGGATGTATCAACGCATAGGACAGCAGCTGCCTGCTCTCCTCGATGTGCTGGTTGTGTTCGATAGAGTGCGCCAGGATCTTGGGCAGCAGTTTCATATACTCTACTTTTGCGTCGAGGTTTCCTGGCTTCAGCAAAGGCAGGTGAGTTAACAGGAGGGAAATCACTTTATCCTTGGATTCCTGTTGCCATTGGTTAATGATTCCTGGGAAGGAAAACAGACAGGGCACATAAGTAAACAAGGCCGCAATGACACAGAACACCACACGGCAAAGAGAATGCCTGTGGGTTAGCGTCCCCATCCAGGTGCTCTGACTAAATTTTCTCAAAACAGCCCATGCATCAGATTGGATAACTGACCTCAGATTGTCAGGGGGCAGTGCCTTCAGTAAAACATGGAACAAACGTTCTTAGATGTTTTTGGTCCTTAATCTACTTTTCACTTAGGTCTCCAAAGAGGCTACAACTACTTTGGTACAACCAAACAGAATTACAGCCCTGGGTTTTTTTGTTGTTGTTGTTGTTTTCTTTTTCTTAGACATCTTCTGATAGATGGGGGACCACAGGGGTGTAGGAGATACAGAAGACAAAAATCTCTATAAAAAAGGCAAGTTTAATCAAGGGTCCATATACTGGAGTCCTTGAGGATAAGGCTGCTTCCCACCCCTCCCCCACCTCCAGATGTCTGTGGAAAAGTGGTTTACATCCTGGTAAAGGCATTTGTGTGAAGTTGGTAAGACTTCTGAGATGGAGAAATATGTCAAGGGGAAAAAAAAGGACTCCCCTCATCCTCGTGAAGTAAGCCTGCACCTCGCTCCTAAGAAGCTGACTCAGAAAACGACTGTGAGCTCAAGTCTCAAAGGAGCAATGAACTCAGGCCCCACCGCTGATCACGTATGGAAGGTAGCTTTCTCCATGTATACAAGGTCTGTCTGGTTGTCTCTATTGTGGTAAAATATATGTAACATATTTATCATTTAAACCATTTTTTAAAATACGTTTTTATTGATTTCAGTGAGGAAGGGAGAGGGCTAGAGAGATAGAAACATCAATGATGAGAGAGAATCATTGATTGGCTGCCTCTTGCCCACCCCACACTGGAGATCAAGCCCGCAACCTGGGCATATGCCCTGACCAGGAATCGAACCGTGACCTCCTGGTTCATAGGTCGACGCTCAACCACTGAGCCACACCGGCTGGGCTAAATTATTTTTAAGTGCACAGTTCAGTGGTATTAAGTCCATTACAATGTAGAGCAACCATCACCACCATCCATCTCTAGATCTTTTTCATCTTCCCAAACCAAAAGTCCATACTCATTAAACAGTAACTCCCCATCCCCTCCTCACCATATCCCTGGCAATCACCATTCTTTCTGTCTCTGTGACTTTGACTACTCTGGGTACCTCATATAAGTGGGTTCACACAGTATTTGTCCTTTTATGACTGGTTTCTTTTATTTTGCATAATGTCTTCAAGGTTCATCCATATGAAGATCTGTTTCTAACACACTCAAAAGGATCTCTTCGGATCAAAACAAACCTGCTGCCTTTAGGTAAACATGGAAATACAATGCATTTCGTCTTGATTGGCCTTTGAGAAGTAGCTTGTCCTGGGGACTGAGCTATCCACAGGACCTGGGGCCACAGGAAAGAAAGCTCTCTTCTAGAAAAGTCATTCCTGATACCTGGAAAACTCAACTTGATGACCCTACAAGGAGAGGCTCCCACTGGCTTTCATGCAGTATCTGCAGGGTTGAAAGGAGGCTTCTGGAATTGAGCATAAGGGCTTCACAATTCTAGCAAGGCAGAAACATATCAGAATAAACTCCAGAGGCATCATTGACTGTAAGTTGCAAATGCAACAGCCACGTACTCTGAAGGCCTCTCAGGACCACAGGGGTGTATTCGGAGAAAAGTATCGGCAAGGTATGTAATGAAAAAATGTGGGTTTTGGAGTCAGGCAAACCTGGGCACGAATCCCAGATCTGCCACTTAATTTGCAGTGGAGCCTTGGTCAATCGATTACTTAACGTCTCTGAGCCTCAACTCTCTCATCAGTCAAGAGTGTTACCAAGAGCATCTGCTCTCCTCGTATTGTAGGATTAAATGAGGTAATGTATCAAAATAACCATTCAAGTACTTGATGGTGGAAATAATTCCTTCTACTTGTCTCTATATTGGTCAGGCCCACAGTAGAGTGATATTGGGTGGTTTTGGATACCAAGTTGTTTTTAAAAATATATTTGTATTTATTTCAGGGAGGAAGGGAGAGGGAGAGAGAGAAACATCAATGATGAGAGAGAATCATTGATTGGCTGCCTCTGGCACGCCCCCTACTGGGGAGCAAGCCTACAATCTGGGCATGTGCCCTTGACCGGAATCGAACCCAGGATCTTCAGTCCACAGGCCGACACTCTATCCACTGAGCCAAACCAGCTAGAGCTGGATACCAAGTTTTAAAAATAATGGACCAAAGACGACCCAGCAAAGGTCACAAAACCTCATCAGAGTTGGAAAAGGGGGACAAAGTAAAAAGGTGAAAGGCAATGGGGTTATTGAGCTTACAATTGAACAATATGAAAAGATGCTTGACTCCTCTCCAGTAGAGATCTCTAAAGGAGATGAACAGTCATTTGGAAGTGGAAGTCTTCAAACTGAGGCAGGAGAGATTAAGATGGGATGTGGAGAAGAACCAAGTGCCAGAATGACAAAAGACCCAGAGGAGTCTACAAGAAAGGCTCTACAGTCTGTCCTGGGGGCACGAGGAATAGAACTAGATGGTCTACGGAAGTGGATAGATATTGATATGGACTATGGAATTTCACATAAGGAATTTTAAATTTTATAATATTCAAAATTAAAAAAGGAGGTGAAATTAATTTTAATGATAAATGTTATTTAATCCAATATGTCAAAATATTATTATTTCAACTTGTAATTAATCTAAAGTTATGAATGAAACATTTTCCATTCTTTGCTTTGTATGAAGTCTTTGAAATCCAGGGTGTATTTTACCACCAACAGCACAACTCAGCGTACACTAGCCACAGCTGGAAGGCTCAGAAGCCATGCGTGGCTGTGGCTACTGCACTGGCTTGCACAGTACTAGAGACATTCAGATGGGAAGGCGGGTGGGAGGGTAGAGATGACCTCGGCAGGTCCCTCCCAGCTCCCTGACTATATTTAGCTAACTGCCACCTGACACAAGACAACCTTCATGCATCCCACTAGGTATAGCCTCCCTTTTAAAGTTGCTCCGGGAGATGGAAAAAGCACCAATTCTAACTTTCTCATCAATACATTTTCAGCAAAACTGGCTTGTGATAAATCATGAATATGCTTGGGATGAAGACAAAATCTCTTCATTCAGCCCAAGTTGCTCGACAGGCACTGGCAAGAAGCAAAAGGGCCCGAGAGGAAGATGAACCCACGTCCAACGCCAACACTGATCAGATGTGGCTAGTGTACGCCCTGGAGATATGTGTTTAAAAATACAATTTGGGAACAACCTTGAATAGAAATGCACGAGGCTCAAGGAACTCCCTAGCTTTCTGCTAGGTCACTTCCCTGTTTGGATACTGTCCCCTTCCGCAAAAGGTCATCTAAAAAAAAAATCAGGAACAAAAACAAACCGTAAACAGGATTCAGAGTACAAACTAAACATGTTATGCCCGCGAACCTCTCTGCCAGGCATTAACCTGGCTTCCAGAGGAGCAACAAGCACCGCAGGGAGGAAAGGGACACGAGGGGCCGCTGCCCGGTCCCGTCCAGGCCTGAATCGGTTCTTTCTCTGTCCTTGGGACAGCGCTGGGACGGGGTGGGGCTGTGACGTGGCCAGGAAGACAACTATGACTTTGTTTACCTGCCGCTGGGAACATGGACATAGGACTGCCTTCCGAGGGCCAGCTACACCGACTGGATCAAACTGTTTCTGTCACTGCCACAGCGGCCAGGCTGCCAGCTGACAGGACTGAATGTTTTCTGCACACCGCGCACTCTTCTAAGTGCTGTCATGTAATTACTCACTGAATCCTCACCAGAACCTTGGGCGGCAGGTCCTACAGCCTTCTCTTACAGAAGAGGACATACAGAGGCACAGAGAGGTCAAGGAACTTGTCCCAGGTCCCCTTGCTGGTGAGATGGCAGAACGGGAGTATGCAAAGTAGCATAAAGATGCATAAGGGTTATTATGCTAGAAGAGCTTGAACATGCTAAATGCATTAATATTTATACTATATATAATTACATAATACATAAAATATATAATTATACATATAGAACATATGATTAAGTATACAATTAGTGTACTAGTATTATTTTTATAAATATAATACAAGTATATTTATAGAGTAGATAGATCAGAAGAGTTGGTCAGCTATGGAAATAGAGGAAAAAAGGAGTTACAGAGACAATGTAGGTGATACCTATTGTGGTTTTAAAATATGTGCACAATTTCCTTGACACTCTTCTCCAAAAGGGGGAGCCTACTTAATTCCCTTCCCTTTAAAGGAAGGCTGGACCTAGTGAGTCACTTCCCTCAACTAGAAAGTAGCATGACAGCGTGTGACATCACGAATTAGGTAACCAGAGGCACTGCAGCTTTGGCCTTGCTCTCCGGGGTCACACACTCTGGGGGAGGCCAGCTGCCATGCTGTGTGGACACTCCAGCAGCCCAATAAGGGAGGGAGCTCTTGCTGATGAGGAGCTGGGACCTCCTGTCACCGTCCAGTGCCAGCCGGCAGCCATGGGAAAGGACCATCTTGGAAGCAGAAGGCCCAGCACTGGTTCAGCCTCCAGGTGTCTGCACTCCAGGAACCCCGAGCTAGCACCATGCGTATTCCTGATCCACAGACTGTGTGTGATAACATGTTTATTGTTGTTTTAAGCTGCTATGCTTTGGGTGCTTTGTTATGTGGCCAGAGATAAGTAATACACCTATCCGAGTGCCCCTCTAGGAAAAAGGAAGTTTAGGCATTTGGCTTTGAGTAGTTCAGTCCTTCGGGCAAAGTCATTTCCACCATGAGATGAACTCATGAAGCTAACCTGTTGCTGCTTAGCCTCACTTAGCCTCCCTCATCCTGATTATCCATTCACCAAACAACCTTAGGCCTATGATTTAGCTTCCCAGGTACCTTCCGGGAGAGAATGAACTGATCACACAGACTTGATGTATTTCTAGATTCTGTGATGATGATTTTTCAGG